AGCATTAGTGATATTACAATTGTTTTATTTTAATTCTATAGGCTTATAAGGAACATGGTTGTTTTCGTGACATCACCAGTGCTAGAAGTAGTTGGCCACTAATTCTATAATATATATATAGATATCGTATAATGTGAAAATCCGTCACTAACTTACACCTTATCGGATTCGGTCTGATTCTACGTGTTTAGTTCTAGAACGCATTTATTATCTCTCTTTTTGAAAGCCGCCAGATCATATAATTTCTTCATAAAAAGATTTTTTTTTCCAGTTTGATGACAGATATGTCTTATCGATGTGAGTAGAACGAACAACTTTACCACATATTTGATCACATTTAATTATTGCGGTGTCGATTTTGCAGGAGCTGAGTCCAATATTGTTAATTTACTTGCCGTCACTCATATTGGTATGTTCTCGACAATCATTTCCCCCACACCTAATTCCTACCAATGCTAACTCTAAATCAGGCCAATCTTAGCTTTCAAAATAAGTGCCACCATACGAAATAATATGCCCTTACAATACCCCAACAAAATATACCCGCCATCGATCAAGGCATCTTGTATGGGTATTTGTATTAGACCCTGGGTCTTTCAATCAGTGCGGTAGGTGCGGCAACTGTTTCTGTTTCACACGTTATTTGTTATTGATGCTATAATAGTATCGTAAATACAGAAGACAAAAAATAAAGATAGAAACTGTAAATTTATAATAAAGTTTATGTCAAGCTTTCATGAAATATCGTTATAGTTAATTTTACCATCCTGAAGTGTGCCTGATTTCGTCATGCGAGGCATTGGCTTAAATAAACTCCTAATTCATAGAAAAGCAAAGAAACGCAAGAGTTGAATTTTACAAAACTTACAGGAAATCATATCAAGTATTTGCGTATGAATCGAGCAGATTATTTCAATAACTTATTATATGAATTAGGTGCTGGAAAAAGGGACGAAGTTGACATTTTTTCAAAAGAAATTTTTTTACATAAATCAATTTAGAATAAGATTAAAATTAAAACACAAAAGTAATTGTATAGCTCTAAAGTTTGCATTTACTTATGATTTATTATAAAATTTATAATATAAAAATTGATTTTTCGAAGATCTTTTTTTTTGTCAACTTCGCAGCACCTAGCCCATGCTTAAGATTGTTAATAGAATGTCATATTCCGAAGCCACTCAAATATTCTTTAGTTGGGATAGAATGCGGTGCAGGCCTAATTGAAAATTGAATCAACCCAACTCAATTCATTAACAACCTTATGCCGCAAGGATAGTAGTTCTAACAACATCTACTATTAATGTCTACTCATCTATTCAATGTGTACACATGTTTAAATATGCGAAACATGTCAATTTCGCATTAGTTTATTCAATTGCTTAAATTAGATTAAAATTTACATTGCTAAACGTGAACTTATACACCCCTCATTAAATAGTGCCGGACATCCACTTAGTATTCTTAACAGCCATTTCAACCGCGCACCGGCCCCAATCAATTCCATGATTATGTTTAGATTCTTTGTCTCCCAAGCCGGCCCTTTCCAATGCTTGTTCATCATTCAAACAAGTAAGAACACCAAAAACAATAGGTACACCACTGTCTAGACTAACCCTCATGATTCCCTGACTTACGGCTTCCGCGATATATTCAAA